AATAAAATCACGAAAATGAAAAAAAGATGCCACAAATGAAAAATACAGAAAGATTATTTTTAAAAATAGCGAGATGTGAAGGAAAAAACAATAAATTATTAAATCATTGCTTCTAAATAGAATATTTACGTTTACGATCTTTGGTACGTAGAAAATTAGTAAACGCTAACCGGTGATGGATTATGATTGGTCGAGCAGGTATAGATCGTCATGAAACATTACGTAAGCTGTTGGGTATTTAGATGCACCCCAAATCAAGGGGGTACCTTATACGGCGTTTTACGGTAATATTTGTTTACTGTGATCAATCTAATTCCCCAAATTTAGAAATTTTACTAATTTATAAAGTAAAATATAAGTTATATAAAACATTTTTTAACCATCAACACTTTCACTTTACAATGTCAAACAAATCAGACATTGATAACATTAACGACTCTCTATTTTTTCGAAATATCAATAATTTAAAAGTTTTTAATGCTCAAACTCCTGTAATGCGAACTAATGTCGATACGACACAAAATACAAAAAGGGCATTAGGGTCACCAACTTCAACTATCAACTCTGGGGAATTTGCTTTGTCTTTACAAAGCAATGATAGTCATGATAAACAGACAAATTTACAAGCAATTGTTAGTAGATTAAGAAAGCTAATTGAAGTAATATCGGGTAAGTTACATTATGATTTGTGACAATAAGGTTTTCAACTTTCATATATTTATTTTATATCTACATGTTTATTTAACCGTAGCTTTAGTAAAAGATATCCACGAAAAGCTTTATAAAGAATTGTTAGATGCAAGAAGTATACTCGACTCGTTAAATGAAATACAGAGAAATGTTGAAAATTTTTCAAATTTACAACAGACGGCTCAATATTTTGAATTGGCTGATGAAATTGACGAACTTGGTATGAATTGAAAAGCGACTTACTATAATGCATAATAAAATGATCAATTCATATTTTTATAGGCGTTGGAATATGGAATACTTCTATTGTTTTGAAAACGAGTAGTATTGCTCGTGGACCAGATAGTAATGACGAGATGATAGCTTTATGTATGTTTTGCATTGTCGAATAAGGGTTTTTCTATTGTTTCTTCTATAGAATTTAATCTTAAACTACATCTAGAGTTTGGAACCGGTTTTATTGTTCATATGATAAAATCGATTAAAACCGGTTTTAACATATGAAAAATAAAACCGGTTCTAAACTCTAACTACATCTGAAATCGTAGTTCGACAGGTTGGATTTGTAATGATTCAAGCCGGTGCCGGTGCGAGTGTAAATACTGAAATAAAAAGTTAGTTCTACACTAGTGTTTTTAATATTGCTAATGCTTGAGATAGTAACCATAATAATTATTTTGGTTTATAGCTGCTGTAAAATTACTTTCATTAGCTAATAAAGTTGGTAAAGCGTGGCTAGGTATGTAAGTTATTATAATTGATTTCGTGTTTCTGAAATTAAATTAATTCATCAATTAAGATTGCGGAAGAAGTGATAAAGCCGATGAAATTCTGCGTTCAGCAAATGCGGTATAATAATTTTTTCATATTTCTTTCAGTGTTAATTGACATAATAGGCTAATTCAGCTACATTTTTAGCTAGAAGATACGATATTGTCTTGGCAGGAGAAATCAGCAAAAGAACTGCAATCAAGATCAACCGCTTTGGTTGTATATTACGCGTATCGTGCGGAGGCGGTACGATTAAGGTTCTCTTTAATAATCTGATTATATAATTTTGTATATTACGCAAAAATTTATATATTTTTACCATAGGCTTGGAAATTGACAAATAGCCATGTCGCCAACCTAATGATCCAACATGCTACCGGTAAAAATTGTTTATTAATATACAAAATGCAATCAACTAGATTCAGAGTTAACTTTTTGGTTATTTAGAGAAAGAATACTTAGAACGTATTACAATAAAAGAGGTATGTCTTGTCTTTTAATCAATTTAAACCATATTTTTGACAAATCTAATGTTTTTTAGATTGACATTCTGTGCCAAGTATGCTTCACGATTGGGCATCAAGCTTCGCGCGAGGGGAAAGTAAACGAGGCGATAAAATGGCTGAGAAAGTGTCATGAATTGATTTCTGATAGGATATCACAAATAAACCCTGAAAGAACTAAGATACTTGTGGGTTCTTTTTATTAATTGAAAGGATGTGGTCATTTTGTTGATTATGTTTTTGAATAATATATTTTTCAATTTAGACAAGTACACTTAATATCTTAGGTAATATATCGTCATAATATTTAGAGTTGTATTATTCTTTTATTAATTTATAAACATTAATAAATAGCGACATGCTATTTGAAGATTTCGGTACATGACGAATCTAATTTGGATCTTGCAGAAAATGCCGTAAATGTATGTTTAGAGGTATGGTGTTATGAACATTACATTTTCATATGAATTGCTTCGTTCAAGGTTTATTTGTTTATTTTTGTTTATTTTCAACTATTGTAGGAGGACCCTGGTAATGTTTTAGCGACTTCATTAAAATTGAAAATTATGAAGCAAAGAAACTTTGACTCTGTACTGTTTGAGGAAGGTGTATATAAAAAATTTGCTTTAGATATGATGTGCTCTGTTTTAAAAATTGTACTTTTTCATTAATCTTGTGCTTTTCATTATGAAACAGTCTATATACGATTAATGAGAACTGGCCAGGTTACAACAGAAAGCTTAAAAGTGTGAGTGGGTATCCCATTCCATTCTAAAGATTAAACAAAGATCACATTCTGTGTATAATAATGGAAAATTCACTTATTTTTAGCTTGTTGAATGTTGCCCATATCGTCAGCGAATTTGAGTAGGCACCTAAATATTATTAATGTTTTGGGGCTTTTTTTTGTTTACTAGCCTCATTCTAATATTTCTTATTAGTATAATGATGGCTTTAAGAGGCATGGATATTCTCATAGAAGAAAAACTTTCTGAAATTCGTAAGATAGAATTTATAGAAAAAGCCATTGTCGCAAAGTTTCATATATTAGGGAATAGTGAATCTGAAAATTTAGACCTTGATGATGCTATAAGAAACATTGAAGTGACACTTGGATGTATGTACGTTTCAGAAATATTCATTCATTTTCATTTATAAGCTCTATATTGTGAATATGATGACATTTTGTTATTATCTGACTATTAGTTGAGCAACGGCATGGCATCATCATTGGACATAAGACAAAAGCCGCTTGTCAGTTGGTAAGACGAAATCGTAGACTATTAATTTGTATTTGTTCATTAAAGATTAACAAGTGGTGCTTGTAGATACTTTGGCAAAAGGGTGATCAAAATTATGCAGTAAGAAATAGCGTTTGTGTCTCATTATTTAATTTTATCGAGTCAAATTAAATTTTAATTGGAACACATTACAAAAGAATCAACGGTATGATCGAGCAAAGAAGTGGTATGCGATTGCATATAAATCATTGGCAGCTAATCAAGCGGATGGTCGCAATGCTGCAATATTACAAAGGTAAAGTTTTCTTCGAAGATGCAATAATTATTTTATGAATTGAATTTGACAACGATTTTAAGTGGTTATATTGTTTAGAAAAATTGCTCTATGTCATCTTGAAGACCATGCGTTAGCCGATGCAACTGAAGCCATTCGCCAGGCCCAATTACATGAACATAATTCGGCAGCAAATTTTTATATATTATTCCATATCGCAATGGAAAAGCGACAAATTGTTCAAGGTTCTATTAAATATTTTATTAAAAAAATTTTTGGTATATCTTGCAAAAATTCAAAAGAATCTGTCTTTTCTTATATAGCCATTCAACACTTGCATGAAATGTGTAAAGGGGATGAATTTCACGGAAATATGCTCACGATGGCCGCTCACGAGGCTTATCAGAAAGGAAATAAGGCAGTTCTTATCGAAGCTTTGAAGGAAATTCTGGAAAAACACGAAAAGGGTGAAGACATTGCTAACGTGGATATATTTGTTTTACTTAGGTAAATATTAACATGTAAACTTCAGAGTATAAAAATACCATACTCATATACAGTAAATATTTCAGATGCTTAATACGAATGACGTATAACACATTTTCTGGCGATGAAATGGAAAGGTGATAATGTTGTTTTGCCTACATGTTGAGATTATTTGTGTAGTGCTTATTAGAATCCATTCTTTTTGTAGGGCTTCGCTTAAAGATTGTATATGTGGATATTTCGAAATTGGTAACTAATAAGATTTTTTTCATTAATTGGCTTCTTAACGATTTTAATGATTAATGAGTAATTTGATGCTATAGCTTTAAATCTCATTAAATCAACCGAGAACAACAAAGACAAGAGAGATGACTCTATACAACAAAAAAGAGCGCTATTAAAAGATTTGGAATGGTTTTTCAAAACAGGTATATACTATATTATTGACGTGGATTTTATTTTTATTTTTTAATAAAATGTTTACTAGAAAAAAAACTCAGTTAATTTTTTGTCACAGCATGGAATATGGGTTTAGAGTTTTGTCAACAGGCAAAAGAAAGCAGTGATGTGTTTTCCATTCAATTATTTGATATCGCTTATAAGGTGTATATAAATTGTTAAATAGATTTTTTTTGGTAGAAAATAGTTGTAACTGACAGGTTTCATATTGATTGATAGTTTCTAAATAAATATCCCGAAGAGACACTAGAACACATTAATCGTAAGAGACTTTGTATTTTCACCTCCCTGTGTGGTAAATTATTTCTTTCTCGGCAGCAAAATTCGATATCCCAAAAGGTATATTTAAGCCATCTTTATCTAAAAAATATTTAATGTCCATTAATATGCACTATACTGTTGATTAATAGAGAGATCTATTGCAACAAACTCTTGCAAGCATTGAACAATACAAAAAGTTAAAAAAGACATTGGGTAAAAGAAAGCGATCTACATTGGATGATGATCAGGAAAATAAATCCACTGCACAGAGTGATATGATTTTAATAATTTTATTCGAATTTGAAGCTAAAATAAAACTGGGATTATGGAATGAATTGCTAACAGTTCTTGATGCAAGTATTCTGAACAGTGCAATTATTATGAAGTTATGGAGACTAGAATCATTACTTTATTTTAGGCTGCTGAAGCATATGATTTTGAGGTACCTTCAAAAATATTCGAACGTATGGCTGAGTTGTTGATTAATGAAAATGAATGTCCGAGTACAGGTAAATTATGGAAAAAATTAGATACATTAATTTTTTCCGTTTAAATACTTATTCTCACCTTCAATATTTCGGAAAATTTAGTAATATTTTCTACACTACAGGTATGATGTTCAAACATTCATCAAATTCACCAATGAATTAATAAACTTGACCAAATGCACTTTTATATTATAATAGGTTCTGTTGAATTCCATAACTAAACGGAAACAAGTTGATATTGAACAATTTTCAAGATGGTTCCGAATGTTGATTATAACTTCTATGGCAAAAGATAAACAGGCATCTGCACAATATTTCGACCAAGCTTTAGATATATTAAATCAGGAATGTTCAAAAGTATGTAATGTTTATATATTTTAGATGTTTTAGAAATCATGTATATAACATCTAAGACTAAATTTCGAATAATAGAAAAAATATCCTGAGGAAGAAATTCAATGGCTGATGGTAAACGCGTGGAATTATGGTATTGATTATTACTCGTGAGTAATTTTAAATGGGTGACTGCTATTGTAAAATGATAAAAAGCTTTGATAATTGTTAAATTAAATTCCAGTGTCAACGATTTCATGAACGCGAAAAAATGGTGTGAAACTGCAATAGCTTTTTGTCGGTTCATGGAAAATGGATTATTATATGAAGAGGAAGTATGTTTTATACAACACGACTTAATAGATATGTCGTACCCCAAATTGGAATCATCTTGATTCAGAATCGGGCTGCCTCGAGTCTTGTAACTTATTTCGGCAGAATTAAAACTTTAGGGTTAATGTTAGGGTTTGGAATAATAAATGTATGATTCGGGCCGAAATTACAAAATTCTCAGATTCCAATTCGGGGTAAAACAGATATATTTGTTTATTTATGTACTAATAACACGTTTGGCGCATAGATGAGAAAGTCATATAACGAAATAATAAAGAACTATGACTCGAATCTAGTTAACGAAATATAAGAATGCCAATTCAACATAAAAGATAGCGCTAATACTGTATATATATCAAATTTAAGGTTCATTTATTAAAAATATACATTTCGGAAAACTTCGTAATTGATATAATTCATTTGTACTTTGTTAATATAATATTTAAATTCGCATATAAGGTTTGACTTAAGAGCGATAATTTCATTTTACTATAGATAGTACCTAGGGTTTTTATTCAAAAATTTTCATTTCAAAATTGAATAGTATTCAAGAATACTTTTACAGAATCGAGTACTATGTATACAGTATGTAGTGAATATTTAAATGAAAAAAATAAATATATAGCTCGCTCTTTCTAAATATATATTCTTTAAGTGCAGGTTATATTAAATTCTTTTTTTTTACTTTGGCAATACTGTTAGTAGATCATGTTATAATTTAGTCAATTTTTTTTTTTAATTTTTACGGTGAGGTCATGCCTCTAACTTTATTGAAATTCAATTGAGTTCTTTACAAGCTTAATATATAGGAAAGAAATTACATTTGAACCTCACATATCCGAAGGGTGTTAAAACTAGAGACTCAGACACAATGTCATAATAACAATTATCTGCGGCCTAAACCTATAAAGTCAAAATTATATATATATTTTTTTATATTTTTCTATTTTATATTTTCTTATATATATTTTTTCTATATTTTATTTTATATTTTTGTCAAATTTATTATACAGTATTGTGATCACAGATTAATATTTAAAAAAATTAAAATTATTATTAGTTAGAGTTAGGGTTTGAGTTAGTATTAGGATTAGGGTTAGATGGTATATACTGTATATGTAAAATTAAGTGTTAAAATTGTCAATTAAAGGTTCAAAACTAGTTATATATTTAAAATTTTTATCTTTTGTCTTATTTTTTTCTAATTTTTTATTTGTTTTTGTTATATAAGATTTTGTAATCTAATCAGTTAATCATATTAACCTGTAATATAGTAACCTGTAATATTTGAATATTAATAGTGAAATTATATCTTTATCTTTATTAAATTTTTTTTTTAGAAGGTGTGGCGACTTAGTGAAGTGGTGAAGTTGTTGCACTCCCAAGTGGCAAGACCAGAGTTCGAATCCCACTGGTGACGAAAATTCGAATTCTCAGTATAGTGTTATGGCAACTGTGAGTATAAGGGTGGATTGACATCTGTAATTAGGTTACACCAGCTCATACTGGGAGACTGTGGAACAATAGTGTAATGTACGAGTTATACAAAACTCGAGTGAAGCAGTTATGTAAATCTGAGGTTGGCGCACATGGAAGTCTGCTTGGCAAGACCTGAGTAGAGAGGTAGCACAGATCTTTAACAGTACTATGTAAAGGATTATCATTAGGATACTGGAGAACCAAACAGGACCGAAGTATTTGGCAAGGCACTCCACCAACCAGGCCACCAGAGAGTAACCAGAGGAAAAAGACCCAATTGTGGGGACCAAGGGCAGGTTATAGCCCTTCTGGGCCATCTGGATTGGAAGTTTGGGACGATGGGTGTATAAGGGATAGTCTGTATAGTGGGTGCTGAGGTTTGGGTGAACTTTGCAAAGGCACAGAGTAGGTAATAGTGGCAGAGGTAAAAAGCCGCAAGTACTTGGCCTCGGCCTAGGCGTAAGTTATCAAAAATCTAGATGATACATGTGTGGGACATGGACTGCTCTAGTAGATTTATTACAAAGATAAAGGACCCCTCTATATGAAAGTGTTTGTTCACTTTAAAGTCCTAAGGGGCCTTCCCGGCAGTTCCTCTTTAAGAAGAATATCCGATGGCACTAAGTTGATTAGAGGGTTTAAATAGATAATCCCCTTAGTTGGGTTATAGGTATAGCAAGCATAGCGGGTTTTATTATGATTGGCTGATTTTTGAAAATCATCTCATCATAATAAAAGTCTTATTAAAGTAATGATTTGCTATCACAAGAGTGCACAAAAATGAATTCGCAGCC